AAAAAAAAAAAAAAAAGAGAGGAATAAAGGAAGGGAGGAGAGGAAGGAATGGAAAAGACGAAAAGAGTAAATGTAAAAATAGGGGCAAAAAAAAAAAATTTGACTAACCCTCCAACATTAACTATAGGTATCCCTGGGTGAAAAGAATATAAATGATCTTTATTTTCCTCATTTTGATTAGCTGTGCTTCTTAAATTCTCTCATCATGTGTTTTCTATTGCCCAGTTCCCACTATAAATGCTTTAAAAGAAAATAATCTATTTCCCAGTCTCCAAAGAAACGCCAGGTTTAACCTTGAAAGTTCTTATTTTAATTTCTAGTATGCAAATCTTGCCCTCTAGGAATTCATTCTCTTTTGCCTTTGAGTGTTATCATTTATTGCACTTAAAAGTGCACCTAAGAGGCCAGTGAATTAGGAAGGAAGGAAGGAAGGAAGGAAGGAAGGAAGGAAGGAAGGAAGGAAGGGGGGGGGGGGGGGGGGGGGGGGGGGGGGGGGGGGAGGAAGGAAGCAAAGAGGGAAGGAAAGAAATGTTCTAATTCAAACTATCTACACATTAAAAAAAAATAAAATATGACAAGAAAAAATATTATTAAGAAATGTAAGCATTGTCCAATCTAAGCATATTTAAATTCTGTAACATTAAAAGTCACCTGCTATTCACTGGATAGATAAATCAACTTTTCAATGTAGGTGGCTTACTTCTATAAACTTTCCCATCACTTAAACATTTCACTAAATCCTCCTTCAGTGAAGAACTTTTCAGATTGGTCAGAAAAAAAATGTGGCCATACTACCTTTTTTCCCTTTTGAACAATATATTTTTCTATAACTCTAATAGATTGTATCAAAGGGGAACACTTTTGGCTGCTAGTAACAGGAAACTGTATTTAAATCTGTGATGAAATCATAGGAATATATATTATCTCACTCAACTAGTAGTCTGGAGGCAGATGGTTCCAGGGTTCTTTCAGGGGCTCATCAATATCATCAAGACCCAGACACTTTTCACACTCCCATGCCATCATCCTTAGCATGTTGGTTTTTATTCCCATGCCTGTTGACTCACTGCTACAATATGGCTGCTGCAACACCAGACATCATATCCTCATGCTGTGCTTAAATGTAAAAATCAAGGATACAGCAAAAGATTTTCTTCTCTCAGAAAGCTCTGTCCTTTATCCAGGGAGGAAACATTCCCAGACATCTTCCTTATGGCCCCATAAGTCAGAACTGGATGGGTACTCCTAATTACCAGAGGCTGTGAAAGTATCTATGGTTTAAGCCTTCCTCCTTGATCCAGTGTCTTCATCTGTGATGGAATGGCACTAGAGGACTTGTCCTGTCCTCGCCTCCCAGGGGGTGGCCTGTCTTTGTTGCAGTCCTGGTGCGCTAATTCAAAGTTTACTCTCTAAAACTAATCGCAACGAATAAGTGAAATTACACCACTTTCAAATACACAGTTGTGCATATCATTTAAACATCCACGAATGCTACATTAAGAAATTAATGATATAAAATATTCATTTTATATTTCATGCATTAAAACACTCTATAAAAAATTCTTTCCACTAATTCTACATTTTAAGCCGAGACAGGCATCATGTCTTTCACTATTTTTAGGCTTCAGAAAGGCCTAGGGGCGCCTGGGTGGCTCAGTCGGTTAAGCGTCTGACTTTGGCTCAGGTCACGATCCCACAGTTTGTGGGTTTGAGCCCCATGTTGGGCTCTGTGCTAACAACTCAGAGCCTGGAGCCTGCTTCAGATTCTGTGTCTCCCTCTCTCTCTGCCCCTCCCCCGCTCATGCTCTCTCTCTCTCTCTCTCTCTCTCTCTCTCTCTCTCTCTGTGTCAAAAATAAACATTAAAAAAAAAAAGTCCTGGGGCGCCTGGGTGGCGCAGTCGGTTAGGCGTCCGACTTCAGCCAGGTCACGATCTCGCGGTCCGTCAGTTCGAGCCCCGCATCGGGCTCTGGGCTGGTGGCTCAGAGCCTGGAGCCTGTTTCCGATTCTGTGTCTCCCTCTCTCTCTGCCCCTCCCCCGTTCATGCTCTGTCTCTCTCTGTCCCAAAAATAAATAAACGTTGAAAAAAAAATTAAAAAAAAAAAAGTCCTAGAACAACGATGCTCAGATGTCAGTTGCTCTATGCCCACTCCTTCCGTAGAGTTATTCATGACATCAAGGAACATCAAAATAGTTCTTTGAAAAAGAAGAGCATCCTGCAAGATGAAGCAGGTTGGAATTCTGCTTTCATTAGTGAAAATGGTCTATGGCAACTCCTTTCTACCCAACCAATAAAAAGCACGCATATGTTCCCAGGAGCACAAGCCTGAACCTGGCCGAAATCCACTGGTTCACATCCTCTAGTGGCTCAGGGCTGCACTGGTACTCCCCAGGTGGAATGCCTGTCCACTGGACCTCCAAACTTAAGGGAAGGAAATTCACATCTTCACTAAGTCCCTTAAGGGCCCAAGACTGGCAGGCTGCGGTCTCACGTGCTAGTTAAGACCCTGGGAACTGGAGTCAGACCTCCTGGGTTCAAATCCGGCTTTGCAACTTACCAGGCATGCAACTTTGAGCAACCATTTACCTTTCACTGAGGGTCTCCTCGCCTGTCAAATGAGGAAACAACAGCACCTACATACTTGGGTTCCTGTAAGGAGTAAATGAGTTACCCCCAGAGAGCGCTGGAAACCGCGCCTGGCAGGCACACAGAGAACTTGTTAATATTACGCCTTTCAACTAAGGGTGCCTGCAACTCTGCAACATTTTGCCTGGATATGAAACGGTTCCTGTGAATTACAAAACTGGACCCCTGGGAATTAAGTGGTCAATGCTGGGGACCCGGAAAGAAAGAGAAAAAAGAAATCAGGGCAGGGGCAGAGGAAAAGCTGCGGCAACATTTACCCTGCGGATTCCACCTACAGCCTCGGTCTCCTGGCCAGGGTCTCCTCTACTGTTTCTTCTTCCAGAAGGAGTCCGGCCGGCGTGTGGCGCAGCTCAGCCTTTCTCCAATCAGACACCCCAAGGCCGGCGCCACGTACGTGACCTGATCCAATCTCCTGCCCTGGAGGGCGGGAACGCAAAGTTCCTACCTGCACCTGCGGCAGCTGTGGCCGCCTCCTGGGTTGGTGTTCCTCCCCGCCCCCTTCCCGGGCGTTCTGGTTTCTCGAATACTTGGCGAATGACCAGCAGGTGGGCAGACAGATGTCTTTCCCGTGCAAAGGACCGAAGTGTAGGAAGGTTCAGTATACCAGAGTGAGCAGCTGAGGTCCCATCTCCCGCGGCTGCCGGGGAGTCGCTAGCAGGGAAGAGGGAGGCGCGCGAGAATGAAAGGCTACTAACCGGGAGAGCCTATCTGGGTATTCATTCACCTGGGGCAGTGAGCCTGGCACCTGTTCCGCCGCGGGGCCCTCACGCCGGAGCCGAGCTCGCTGCGAGCCCAGAACTGCCGCCACCGCTGCGCCGAACAGAAGTTGGAAGCGCCAGGGGAGACGAGCAGCAGCAATCGGCCTTAGCTGGACTGCAGACATTTCGGCAGGCACACCTTCCAGAAAAAAAGCCCGACCTCCCCAGGTTGTCCCAAGCGCACCTCCTCCGTTTTCTTGGAGGTGAGGTCGGCTCAGAGTCTTGGGATCTTCAGAAGCCCGAACAGGTGAGCAATCAGGGTGGTTTTGCATCCGCCAAGACAGAGCTCATTCCAAGGTGTCAACCTGGGGTGCTACCCCGGCTCCGGAGAGGTTTCGAGCCACAGGCGCTCTGCGTAAATTTGCGTAATTTGCAGTGTTTTCCTTGCGCAATTAGTGCTGAGCCTTTCCGCGCACACGTCGGTTGTGGAAAAGAGAATGTAGGGTAGAAGACAGAAGGCAGCCATCGGCACACCCCACCACCCATGAATAACTTGGGGTGCTTCGCTGATCCGTAAAATACAGGGAGCAGGAGGTTTGCAGACCCAACTGCAAACCGTGCCCTGGGGAGAGGGTGCCTTTTTAGGGGAAGAACTTTTGGCGGCTTCATCTTCTATTGTTTTCAAGTCGTGGCCCGAGTGTGCCCTCGGGGCATCCTGGGGAGGAGCCGGGGCCCGGGTCTCTGCTGCGGAGGCCGCTGCGCCGCCTCGCGTAGGCGCTCAAACTTTCCCGGCGCTTTTGAGAGCAGAACTTTTCCAACAACAAACACCGCTCAAGTTTTGCTCCCCGGCGCGCCGGCAACTCCCGCCAGCACCAGGCGCGTGGGCTGGGACGGAGCCCAGAGGAAACCTGGAAATGCTCCCGGGCGCAAGCGAACCCTGCGCGTTCGTACAGTTAGTGCCGAGCGCGGAAGGCGCGCACAGGTGTCTCGCTCCCCATATTAGCACCGTAAGTGCTAATAAACAGTCTCTTCGGGCCGCAGAGCGCTGCTTTAAAAGCTGGGGAGAAGCAGATGGGTTTGGAGTTCCTGATTGCGCGCAGCAGGTTTCTGTCCTTTGGAGGAAGGAATTGCGCAAAAAAGAACAGACGCCTTTAATTTGTAACTAACAATCTCAAGAGTTGCGCTGCCTGGTACAAAGTCGGTGCATATGTTGATACAGAACTAAAAAGAAGAGGACGTTTGCCGCTTGGCCTCATCTCAACCATCGGCTGGGGTGGCTTCGAAGAGACGTAAGATTGGTGTCTGGGGAATAAAAGGAAGAGTGGGACCGCGGTTTTCAAGGGAAATTAAGTCTAGACCAGTTTCTCTGAAAGCGGCAAGGCAGAAGTTCTGTCAAAAGCAGAATTTAAAAGAAACCACACATCCTGAGCTTTTCCCTCGCTCTTATCGGCATGTAAATTCCCCCCAGAAAATCACATCGAAGAGCATTCTGGGACAGAAATCTATGGAAAAACACCTTCAAGGGAAATTTCGGAACTGTTGACAGGAGTCTAATAGTCAGTGCTCACCCATAGCACACCCCCTTCCGAGCGCCCTCCGCTCAGGTGCTCATCCAAGAGGAGGCCCCGCGGGGCCGAGCTGGGTCACTTTGGGGCGTCCTTCTACAATCAGGGTAACAGGCCAGGCCAGCTTCCTCTGGGGCCGGCTTCATCCGCATGCCCGGGAACCTCCCCCGGCGGCCCCCGCGCAGACCACCGCACCGGCCCTGGAGGCCAGGCGAGGGTTGAGGCGGGGGAGAGCCAAGGTGTCTGGAGACCAGATGGTGGCGCCCTGGAGGCCATCACTCGTCCGCCCGCGCCCCCGGGGACGCGGCGGTGCCCTCGGAGGGCCGCCTAGCTCCCGGCCTGCGGGTGCTCGGACCCGGGCCGATCCGGTGACGGGAGGAGCGAGGGGAGGAAGTGGGATTGGGGGCACGTGACTTGGACAAACCCATAACCACGTTCTGTTTGCTTCCCGGGTACAGGCCGCCGCCTAGGCTCCCACCCCGTAGCCTGCTTTCCTGCCGCGGACCGCCAGCCCCGCCGAGAAAGAGGGCCCTTCCCCACCTGCCGCGCCCCGCGCCGCCCGGCCATGGCCGACAGCGGCGGCACGGGCAGCTCTGGGTCCTGGTGGAAATCGCTAACCAACAGCAGAAAGAAAAGCAAGGAAGCCGCGGTAGGGGCGCAGCCTCCCGCCCAGCCTGCCCCCGGGGAGCCCGCGCCGCCCGCGCCACCCAGCGCCGACTGGACTGGCAGCTCCCGGGAGAATCAGCACCCCAATCTCCTTGGGGGCGCCGGCGAGCCCCACAAGCCGGACAAGTTGTGCGGGGAGAAGTCAGGCAGCAGCCGCCGCAATTTGAAGATCTCGCGCTCCGGCCGCTTTAAGGAGAAGAGGAAAGCGCGCGCCACTCTGCTCCCCGAAGGAGTCCGGTCCCCTGAGGAGGCGGGCTTCCCTGGTGACCCCCACGACGACAAGCAATAGCCACAGCGCGGCGGGACTGTCTTTCTCCCCACCACTCCTCCCTACCCTAGCCCGAGAATTGCGGCCCGCCCCAGTACCTGGTTCTAATCCCACCAACTTCTGAGTATTCACACGAGGCCTCCACGATTTTAATTTCCTGGAAATTGAAGTGTCGGTTAAGTTTTCAATATTTCATGGCTCGAGGAGGCACTGAATATGCACTTGTGGTAAGCGAAGATACCTGCCACAGAGGAAGTTGGCCTAATCCTTTTTTTCCCCCAAGAGTGGCCCCTTGTGCCACCTGGGGAGTGAGAAGGGTACTTCTCTGAGTGGGTCACTCACCTGGAACTGCACAGCCCCTCCAACGAGGAAGCAGTGCTCCGATTCAGGACTCGCTGTTGGAGAGCAAATTACACTGCTGGGTTTTTTTTTTTTTTTTTTAATTTTTTTTTCAACGTTTTTAATTTTTATTTTTGGGACAGAGAGAGACAGAGCATGAACGGGGGAGGGGCAGAGAGAGAGGGAGACACAGAATCGGAAACAGGCTCCAGGCTCTGAGCCATCAGCCCAGAGCCTGACGCGGGGCTCGAACTCACGGACCGCGAGATCGTGACCTGGCTGAAGTCGGACGCTTAACCGACTGCGCCACCCAGGCGCCCCTACACTGCTGTTTTTAACGCCAGAGAAATGCACTTTAGAAGTACTTGTGTAGACTCGTACCTGAGGGAAGGGCTGAGAGGGAGCAGGAAGCATTCTTAGGTAGAAGCATTAGAAGTAAGGCAAGGTTGCTTTTAATGTTGAACTACAAAACTGTACTGCCTGTTTTAGTGTGGACCATTAAACCCGCTGCACCCTAAGCCTTAAGGTGACATTTGTGTTTTTTCCATTGCAAGACTGAAGTCTGTCATACTTAAAAGCAGGCATACGAAATCCAAAGTGACAGAGTTAATCATTTGCCACACAGTACAACAGCTACTCCTGGAAAGCTAGGGGAGGGGCACGTTTCTCAGAACTAGCAACACCCCGACTGGCACCAGTTAGCCGGATGTCTCTATTTACTAATTAAATTTGAGGAAGGGAAGGGGAGGTACTAAATAATTATTCCTAAATTCTCTTTGTTACCTCGGTACATCTTCAGACAGTAGAGTAACTCACAATGCTAGTAGTAATTCTTTTTTGTATTGTTAACCATACTAACAATTCTCTGAAAATCCTTAAACAAATGGACTGGACCCTTAGTTTGGGCAAAGCCGTCTTCTTTTCCCACCCCTTTGCTGCAAAAGCTTACTTTAGTCTGATTTATGCATTTATCTAGTTTCAAAGCCTTTAGATGTACTAATCTGAAGGTTCTGAACAAAAATCCACCTGTTTGCTTTTGTTATGAACTTCAAGAAAAGGAGTAAATGAATACCGCTTGCTTTCAGCAAATTACAAGGAGTTATTGTAGTGGTTAAGGGCCACTGGGCTCTTTCCACCACAATTCAGTTCATTTATAAACATCCAGAAATACATAGGGAAATTGTAGTGGTCACAGTGTGTGTGTGTGTGTGTGTGTGTAGTTTAGATAATTACAAGCAAGAACTTGATTGGAGCTTCTAAATGTGTTCTATAGAAAGAGGCAGATTTTTGTTTCTCTCAAATTAGTAATTTATAAAATACCAAAACATGTTCATTGGCTAAAGAGATTGAGCAATGAAACTTGATGAAAACGGCTAACCTCATGAATCAAGCTTGGGTACCAGCACAATAATAGAGTTTACCATTTGATATATGAGTTTCCACATACCAAAGATTACTCCAAAGGAAATTTTTTATATGAGGATTATGAACGCCTTACATTAAAAGAGAGAATGTTTGAGCTTTTTTTTTGTTTTTTTAATCTTGAAAAGACTTTTTTGCTGTGTATTTAGAACTGAGAGTATGTAACCAAAGAGTCATCAGGGTGGGCCTCCTGGATGAGGAAGACTTCAAATCTGTTTTAAGTGGGCCTCCCCTCTCTAGACTCTGATGCAAAAGAGGGAGAGGAGAGCATGCTGGGGAGATTCACAGTAAGAAGGGACACGTGGGCTTGGCAGATCACTGGGAGTAAAGCAAGTAGAAACTGTCAAATAAAGCCTTGGAACACCCTCATAAAGCATTTTGATTTCACTTTGTAGAAAGTAGTCAAAATCAGAATAAGCATCCCAAATAGTTTTCCCCTCCCAGGAGGACCAATAGATTAGGACTATACCCATTCACAAAATTAAGCCTGCAATTGCATAATTTAAAAATGTTACACTCATTCTTTCATCTGTAGTTTTATTGTTTTAAAAAACATTTTTTCTTAAGAACTTCTGCATTCACAAAACATTGGCATCTTCCCAGGTTCTGCATCTAGCCTGGGATCCCATCCAAGTCTAGGATTGCTGCAGATAATCAATAGCAGACCTATAGCATGGAACTTATCAGCATGGTATCTTTACCTCGCTGTTCTGGAAGAATCGAAAACCATGCTAATGGCAGTTATGACAGCGAATGCAATTCACAATCTATGGTTGCGGTTTGTAATTACAGAGTTTTCGAGCAGTCCTAATTGTGCAGTGGGAAGAATGCACTGATTTAATCCCAACTCAGTGAAATCAGAAACCAGGCAAAATTGGTGGGATAAAAAGATCATGGGTAAGATGAGATAATTTGACAAAGTGTCTTACTGGGATTTATATGCTTTACAGATGATTAATTACATTCTCATATATACAGACTTACATTTTTTTTTTAAACCTCATGATAATGTATAGTAAATCAAGGGAAGGTGTTGAATTAAATTTGGAGTTAATTAGATTAGAGACTTTTGCTTTCTTTAAACCCCTTTACAAATGAAATTTCAACCACAAGTTTGGAAACCATTAAAAAAATGTTAATACCACGCTTCCAAATGATATGGGGGGAAAGGGACAAAAATCTAGTTGTATGTTTGCTAAATTCTTTCACAACCATGATAGTTTTATGCACAGGATGGTTTTCTCCTCTGCGACTCTCCTTGCAAAGTCAGTAGCCGAGCAGTGACTCATATCATCGGTCACCTGAACGTCCCTTTGTGTTCATGCTTTCATTGTTCAGCCCATTCTGACTTGCATCTCGAGAGCGGAGATTCTGTTTTGTATATGCAGTCAGGATTTTCTGCTTCAGTATGACACTGGGAAGTATTTATTGTGCTTTGAAACATAATGGGAACTCAGCAAGCCTGATTTTGCCACATCCTTAGGAAGAAAGTGTAAACCCAACGAACAGTAGCATTGGCTAAAGCATTGTCAAAAATCACACTCCTGAGATATTCAGAAGAAAAATTTTGGTGTCTTCAAATAATAAATAAATAAAAATATACACAGAAATAATTTCAAAGAAAGTGAACCAGAAAGGAATGACTCAGAGTGGGATAATAATATCCAATGACCACCGGACCTTTTTATGAGGAAAAGAGAGCAAGATTTTTACTTCTCCCTGGCTGAGTAGTGTCAGCCAGACTAGAAACTAACACACAAAAAGCTGGCCTGATAGATCCAGTAAGGGAAACTGATCTTTTCAAAATCTATTTCAGGGGCACCTTGGTGGCTCAGTTGGTTAAGTGTTTGCCTTCAGTTCAGGTTGTGATCTCACGGTTTGTGAGTTCAAGCCCTGCATCGGGCTCTGGTGCTGACAGCTCAGAGCCTGGAGCCTGCTTTGGATTCTATGTGTCTCTCTCTACCCCTCCCCTGCTCATGCTCTGTCTCTCTCAAAAATAAATAAACATTTAAAAAATTGTTTTAAATCTATTTAAAAATAATAATAAAAGTCCATTTTATTCGTGGAGTGTTTTATTATAATTATACAGAAATGTAGAAGATTCTTTCTTGGGATAAGCTCAAGTGTATCTCCATGGTAAGTAGAAAGTGGGACGAGAGATATTTTATCCCCTTCCAGTGTCAACATACAAGTACCTTAGACTAGAAACAAGTGTGCAGCCCCAGGCAAACTTTGTCACTGATGAGCAGGGTGGCCATTAGGTATTTTTTTCCCACCTCTTCTCTGTATTCCCCACTCTTACCCCATTCTCACTTGCCTCAGAGCCATGGCACATGCATTCCCATTAAGCTCAGAGTTGAAGAAGAAGGGGTACCAGGAGGCACGGAGGCCTTCCCTGGCCTCCTGCAGGCATGGCATATTCACAACCACTTTGTCAAAAGATGGCCCTGCAGACTGGGAATTTGGGAAGAATGGCATTCGTGATAAGAGAAGATTATCACTAAGGAGACAGGACATAAGGAAACAGCACAGGCCTTCCCTAGCAAAGGACAGCTGACCATTTGTACAGAAATGGAAACAGCTATAGACCACAAGAAATAAGACAGAACGCATAAGCAATCCTTCTGGGTATTCAAAGCAAGGAAATCAGCTGTGCTTCCAAACTGAACTGTGCTACAGAGGACAAAATCATGGGCTCATAATTGCCGTGTCAGAGTTGTTGATAAACCTCATGCAATGAAAAGATCCATGAGGGAGAAAACACTGATCAGAGGAGGAGCTAAGATAGCAGAACAGCATGGAAGTTATTTTCTGTGTCTGGCATTGATGAAATACAGCCAGATCAACACTAAACCATCCTGCACACCTAGAAAACTGATCTGAGGATTCACACAACAATCTGCACAACCTAAACCACAGAATTCAGCAGGTACGTGGCACAGAGAGGTGAACTGGGGGAGAGAGAAGCCACAGAGGGCAGGGAGCTGTTTTTGCTTGTGGAGAGAGGACAGAGATTGAGGGAAAGTATGGGAAAAGCACCCCCCCACACACAAAGCAGCTGGAGAGAAAGTGGAAAAGTGGAAACAGCCACAGGGACTGAACAAGAAAGGGAGAAAGGAGAGGGTTTAAATTCCATTAAGTCTCTATAAATAGGGGGAACACAGAGTCTGAAACTGTGCAGCTGAATACCTTGTGGTGCTCTGGTGGGAAGGGCAAATACCCAGGAGCAGAGTGAAGTTGGGGGGGGTCCTCGGGCCACACAGGGAGAGGGAGTTCCCCTGCTGGGACAAGATGTGGTAGAGCCCTTGTGGCCACCCCAGCAGACCCCAGAGGTCCCAGAAGACCCCAGAGAACAACCACATTCACTGGTTCTGGAACAAGGTCATTAAGGGTGAAGCCTGGTGGCAGATGTGTGTCATGATTTTCCATAATCCCTGAAACACTTCTGCTACATGATCACGTGAACTTTTCTGAGGCGGGCTGGCACCCAGCTGCAGTCTCTGGGCCTTGGCAGCAGCACGGACCCAGAAACGTTCTTGGGTGTGGCCTGCATGCAGCCATTGCTCAGTGAGACCCTCCTATGGAGGGTCAGAACAGGTCAAAACTGCAGTCCCTCAGAAGTCAGGGATTGGGAAACACAGCCAAGTCTAAGAT